TGCTTCAGACGATGTTCCCCACCTTTCTTTTCTTGGACACTCGGCTCCCCCTCCGCCTCCTCCTTTTATGAAGCGTGCTTCAGACGATGTTCCCCACACTTCTTTTTCTAGACCCCCACCTCTGCCTCCTTCTTTTATGAATCTTGCTTCAGACAATGTTCCCCACATTTCTTTTTATAGTCCCCCACCTCCACGTTATTCTTTTATGAAGCCTGCTTCAGAGGGTGTTTCAGGACATATTCCACAAGGACTGTCCAGACCTTCTTCATTTTGTTGTTACTCTCCTCGTAGTCAATCCATAGATTCATTTTCATTTGGCATTTCATCATCATCAGACAGTCAGGCAGTGAAGGACATCGATATTCAAATTCGGAGCTGTAGCACTCAGATTAGCAGGCCATCACTCCACATTCAAGGTTACACTTCAGCGATGAGTAATCAGGTACAGAGTGCACTTGATTCTGTGTCTGATGAGGAAGAACAGAGTTCATCTGAGTATGCTGAACGCGTTTCTTACAGGGCCTGTAAAAAGCCTGTAAAATACAAAGACGGAGCAGCAGCCAGGCGTCCGTCTTTCAGCCCAGATTCTTGTAGTTCTTTCTTTAAAGTTAACCAACTTCGTGAGACGTCAGCTCCAGCGGATTTAGAGCACCAAGCAAAACCTCACCTCCAAATATATGGTCGGGTAGGGAAAAGACCCGAGTTTAAGAGTAAAGTCTTTCCTAAGAAGTCCTATCTCCCGACTGTCCTGGGACATCAGTCAGCTGTGTGAGTCCCTGAACATTTCTACACACATTCTGTTTGTTAACTATGAGAAGTGTTTGTCTAACAGGTGGAAATGACTGTATGTTAACTAGGCTGAATGCAGCAGAATCTCCTGAAGCGCTGAAGCTCAAATGGATGAAGATCTTCCAGATGCAACATTCAGTGAGCTTTTTGTGGTTTTATAGTCTTGGGTTCACTTAAGCAAACATAGCTGTTTATCACTCGGACAAAGCAACAGCTTCCTTTGGCTCTCTGACAGGTTAAAACTGCAAGGGAAGCTTCATTTTTTTACTGAATCACTTGTTAACATCTGTTTTATTTCTATGGGACTTGTTCTTATCATTGTTAGGGTCGTGGGTGGGTGGAGCCTATTCCAGCTGTCATGGGGCGAAAGGCGGAGTACACCCTGGAGAGACTGCTAGTGTATTGCAAGGCTAACACAGAGAATTTAACCTCCTAGGACCTGGCGTCCACATGTGGACATCATATTCTGGGTTGTCTAGACCAAAATACAAAATTTTGGTAAAAACAAAGAATCACATAATTCTTTGTTTTTACATTCATCAGGTTCAATCAGCCCAAATAACGAGAAGAGAAAATGCCGTGAAAGAGTTCGGGTCTTACGAGGTTAAACGTAACTGTCAGGTTAGGCTCAGACTAGGGTTTTAGTCTATGTGATATATTAACAGCAAACATCCGTTGTTTTGAAACTTTAAGCTGCATTTCAGAGTTTTATGATAGGAACATATAAAGAAAGCTTCCAGTGATGCCCCTCTGCCTCCTTGTAGACACACCTGTCGTATCAATTTGAAAATTCTACCACACCTCGTTCTCAACTCGTCACATTCACAAGATTTCCAGAAAACTTGACCTCCAACCTTTACCTTATACTAAAGGCCACTGGTATTCAAACTGGTCTGAGGTTTGTAGTGGCTGCACCTGTTTTTGAGTTACTGCATTCACAAGCTCAAGTGTCCATGCTGCCCACCTGCCCAGCAGGGTGGAGACGGTACCCCCTCCATCTTTTACAGCCGAGGGGCGAAAATCATTTTGACGCAGAAAGAATCGCAGCTAATGATGAGTCTGGGATCATAATGGGGATATAAACAAGACCTTGCTATCACGTTTACCCAGAATGCAGTTTTTCAAATGGTATCCAGTTAATTATCAGAAAACAGATAAAACAGCCACGCTTCTGTCAATCTACATCACAGATATTAAACTGGTGATATATGTCATGACAGTGATGCTCAAAGTTGGTCATAGAGTTAAAAGTGTTTTATCGTAGTGAACGTTTCATGTGGTTAGCTCCTGTGCTTTGGTAGTTAGCAAGGCTCAAAAAAGCTGGACAGAATTAATAAAATGACCAAGGACAAAACTGTAACCCACACCTTTGTACTCTGAGTGCATGCAACTGGAAAAAATGTAAATGTCACTTTGATATAATGGCATTATTTTTATGCGTGTTGTAGGAAGGGTACTGGGAACTAACCACAGAGCTGGGGGAACTACTTAATGTCAACGTGGACCTGTTTGCCAACGTGTTCCTGAAGAACAAAGGCATCCATTCTCTCGGTGAGAGCTCGTTCAATTCTGATCTGGAGGTGGAAAAACTAGCTTTCAAGTTTTATGAAAGTTAACATGTATGTACGCTTAGTTGGGATCATGTTAACAATGCATATAAAATGTGACTCACATCCACCAAGGTCTTTAATGTCAACTTAAGATTTATTGGTGGAAAATTGACAAAAAGCCTCGAATAACTTAGAAACTACAGTTCTTACACGTGTGTTTTGTTAAAGTACATAAAGTGCCATATAAAGATTTACAGCATCAGGTTACATTTGAGGTCTGACCTAAGTAGTACTAAACAGTAAAAAGAAATGACGCATATCCAGTATATCCACATAAATAAAACCTAATTCTTTGCATTTGTTTTCATGGCACTTCTTAAAGTTTACAAATAACAGAAAACAAAGTGGTTCCAAACAAAAGCCGATGCTGTTCCTTTATTAAAACAAGCCCAGAGACTGATGGGTGGACAGATTTGTGCTCTGAGTGCTTCTTGTTTTTCAAGTTATTGTAAGTTTACTAAAAACATAAATTTACTTAGTTTTATAATTATTATGAGCTCACACTTAACACTTTACCTCGATGTCTGTAAGAAAAGTTTTGCAATAACCATTTTATACCAACACGTTCTCACTCACAAAGTGCAACATTTTGCGCTAAGTGACAAATCATCGATATATTACGCTTCCGATCACTCAACACGTCCCTATATTACAAGATCGGAAAAATGAGGAAACACGAGAACCATTTGGAATGAATCTACACGTTTGTTTTACTCGCTTTGGAAAACACGATCCAACATCATTAAAGTGCTGGTTATGGTTTGGGATCAGGTTAGGGCTGGAATAACCCGGTGCGTAGCACAAGAACACGGAGGGTCTCCTGTCACATTCCTCAGGAACGTCCGGGACATGACAAATCGTATATTACGACTCGGAAGTGAGAACGGTCTGTTTATATGCAGTTTTCTAGGAGCTCAGATGTTAATTAACCTTATTTTTCATTATTTCTTTAAAAAAAATCAGGCACATGTTAAACCTGTAGATTACTCCCTAGTGCGACGTTTAAATGGGCAGCTGTTGTTTGAGATTGATTCATTATGTTGATTCTGTTCGTCTGGACGTTGCGTCTGGTCTGGTAAGAACACTTGGGTTATAAAAGGACCATTTTGTGATTTCCTTTGGGATCTTTTTTGCATGTGTGTTTGAAGGCGTGACAGCCCACGCAGATATCCTGAGGCTGGTGGCGACTCTTCTGGTTCTGCAGCTGATGAAAGCGAACAAATTGGAAGAAGGCAAGCTGCTCCGCACCCTGTTCTGTCTGGAAGAAGCTTCTCAGTCCAGGTCTGTCCAACACAGGATGCACAACAGCTTAGAGTAAAATTTCTCTGCAGTTGTTACAAATCAGCTGAAATTAAGCTTGAAAAACATTTTGTACAAAATGTGATTTGATATATTAATGAAGCTTATTTCACTATGCCTTGCATGACTTTAGAAATGCAGGTCTGGAAATATTTGCACCACGATGGTTTTAACAAGTTTGTTCACTACGGTGACTGTCTTTTTCATTCAGGCCTGAACGATGGGAGCAGGTGAAGAAGGCGGTGGACTGGGTTTGCTGGGCTGACCGACAGTACCCCTGTGTCTATTGTCGGCTAGAGTTTGGTTTGAGCTGGGAGTCCGCCACCCGTCAGCTACTGGGTTATGAAAGCCTCCCTCCCTTCTCGCCTCTCTGTGGTCTTGATCTACAGAGGACAACGGCCCCAGTACTGGTCCAGTGAGAAGATGCTGTGGACACCGTGTAGCCTTTCAGAGGGGATTACAGTAGCTTTAGATATGCTTGTCGATGAATATGCATGTATTCCTGTGCCTTTTAAGAAGAATTTTGTACTCTGTGTGTTTATATATGTATGGCTAATCTCAAATGTCCTCTGCTGTAATCTAATTTCTCAAATGTTACAAATACAGGTCATTTACACGGAGCATTTACTGTACATAGAGCAGTTGTTTTGTCATCTGTGAAGTTTGCCCGAAAAGCAAACTGGTGTTTGATCCAGGTCAGGTGGTAAAATGTACTTAATTTGAGACACAAGTTGTTGTTTTTTTTTTTTTTGCATAACACAGTATCCATTTTTAAAACACTTCATAGCTGTTGGTGTTGGTGGCACTGGCTGACAGTCATTCACAGTTGTTGTTTTGTGCAGTGGGATAATGGTGGAGGGTAAATACCTCTGATGCTGGAGGACCGATGTTGACTCTCCAGTGATTGGGTAGCAGAATGTAGGAGTCTCCCCTGGTTACGGGCATCAGCCAGATTTGTGTCCTTTGTGTTTGATGCACATTGTAACGTGATTTTATAGTCAGTCAGTGACTTGATACTTATTTACATGTAACAAGGGTTGTTGTTAATAAATTGCTACTCTATGACCTGTTTGTGCCAGTGCTTTACCTTGCTGCCTTTTACAGCTTCTGCCGTGTTAAGTTGTTTGCTGAGGGAGGCTGAAGAAATTGAATACATGCAAAGGGTGCCAGGTTTGAGGGTCTCGGGATCTTATCACTGCTTTTTGAAGATGAAGTGGTTTTCTTAGGTTCACCAAGCTATCACATCCGGCTGACACCAAGATGGTTATAGTAAGGAGCTCAGTCATTTAGGTGAGAGAGGTGTTGACTGGCATGAAAACCATCACTATGTTCAGGCCGTCCCATCTGTGCTGAGAACAGAGGCAATGAGTTGAATGTGTTTTTCAACAGATTGAAATGCTCACCTCCCTCCTGATTTACCTGTAGTCATCCTTCAGTCCATGCCACTCTCTCTCCACTTTGCACCTCAGGCTACGTCTACACTAATCCGGATAAATCTAAAACACTCCGCGTCCACACTATCATTTTCAAAGAGTTGTGCATCCACACTGAAGCGACCTAAAATGCTTACATTCCAGTCCTGCGCATGCATGTAAAGTACGGTAAGAAGATTCGACCCGCCTCATTTCTGTCTGCCGTTTATTTTCTTTCCGGCTCTTTGAAAATTAGCAAAATGTGGAGGAAAAGCACAGAGTTTTTTTAAATGGACTAACAATGAGGTGGAGTTGTTGCTGCGAGGAACACAAAAGCACAAATTGCAAAAGCGAGTGCGAATTAAAGAATTTAAAGAAAAGCTCTCTGGAGCATGTGCAGACTGATATTAATCTTTAACAGGGCTGTCAAACCTGAGAGCTGACAGAACAACTGCTGCTCCGCTGTCTCAGTTTAATTGGTCACATGACTGCATCATATAACTAAAATGGGTCATCTTTCCAAAAGTCTGCGGTTACGCTGTCCACACCGCTGCGTGAAAACGCTGTTTTCAGTTGTTTCTGCTTTTTCAAAAAGCTCCATTTTCCTTGATCGAAAACGCCGTCTCAGTGTGGAGTGAAGGCCAAAACGGAGACAAAAAGATACGTTTTCGTTTGAAAACGTATTAGTGTGGACATTCCTGACACCCCTCCCCCCACCTGTCACTTTCACTCATGTCCAGGCTCATGAAGACTGGACCAGAAGGCGAGCACTGTGAGCGAAATAATGCCAACTTTCCTGGGTGATAAGCTAACAGCAATGAATGTGGATGCTTGTCTTGTGACCTGGATTGTTGAGTATGTGAGTCACAGTATGTGCGTCTTCTTTATTGTGTGTCTGATAAGGTGACCAACAACACAGGGGCACCCCTTCCTCTTCACCATCTACACTGCACAGAGTCCTGCCACCTTCAGAGGTTTTCTGATGACTCTGCGGTGGTTGGATGCATCACTGAGAGTGATGAGTCACAGTACCGGGCTGTGGTCGACTCCTTTGTCAGGTGGTGCGATCAGAATCAGCTGCAGCTCAATGTGGCAAAGACCAAGGAATTGATAGTGGACTTCAGGAAGACCAGGAAAACTGTGACCCCTGTTTCAATCCAGCGGGTCGATGTGGACATTGTGGAGGGCTATAAATACCTCAGAGTACACACTGATAATAAACTGGACTGGTTAAAAACACCACTGCACTTTACAGGAAGGGCCAGAGTCATATCTATTTTCTGAGGCAACTAAGGCTTAGACGTTTTCAGCTGAACTTTGCTCACCACTTCCCACAACCACCCTGACTCTCCTTTCCCTGTGTTTCAGTGCCCTACACCGCTGATTCTTGAACCACAGTTTTCCTGCTGACCCAGCCAGTTTAAGCTCATGTCTGCCTGGTCTGGCATAGTCTTTCATAGTCCATGTTAGATGTGTTTAATACTCTAGCTTGTGTCCCGATCCGTGATTGAGGTGTGAGACAAACGACTACTGGTCCAAGTGCGTCAAAACAATGATTTTATTAAACACGTGTGTGGAAAGATACAGCTCTATATTGTCAATACGGATCTTCCATCAAAACATACTTTCAGCATGGTTTTATTATGTCAGGGTTAACGCCCCTTCTCGCGTCAGAAAAAACATCACATGTACAGGTTATAATTAACGACAGTTCAACAAGTTTCCGTGTTCAACAGCATTTCCTCCTTATTTGGTTGTCTGGCCCCCCCAGATGTTTCCTGTGGACCCCGGATCACTAGTTGCTAAACAGAGACAAAGTCTTTCACCTTTACCCTGGAAATGATACTTCATGCCTATGTGTATGTAAGCGTGTTAGGCCTTCATTCACAGCATACAGGTCATTGCATCAGTATATCAGTTCAGAAATGGCGCTGAACGACGCTTTAAGCCTTCCTTAGACTGTATGCTCAACTCTATCATGAGCACAAATGCAATGTGCGTAATAACCTGATTGAAACTGTATGTTTAATAAATGGAATAAATGACACTGCTCAAAGCTAAATAAAAAGATGTAAAAGAATCAACCTGATATAAAATGATATCATCCCCACACTTGCACATTCATAGTTCATTTGCTCGAATCCGGTTTCATAGCCCTAGTTCTTGGTCATTGTGTTGTACTTTGTTTCTGTAAATAAAATATTCTAATCACTAAGCTCTGCTTTTGGTTTCATTTCTCACTGCTGGCTACCGAGCCCTGACACCCCCAAGGCAACTGTTCCAGATGGGAGCTGTTACGAAATCAGTTTTACCTCGGTTCTTTTTATTCCTCGAGCATCCAGAGACGGCACCGGACTCAGTCATTTTCACAAAACCTTTATTCATCTTTACTCATCTTTACTCTTCTTCATTTATCTTCGTTTAAGCATGTATCTTCTAGAAGGGAAGACGAGGCCGGTGTCCCTCTGCAAAAAATCTTCACCCCTTTGTTCGTTACAGCCAGCTTTATAGAGGCGTCCCCATCATAAAACCCCCCCACGGTGTGCTGCAAACTCTGTCTGTGTCTATGTGCACGAGCACATGAATGCCTACATGTGCGCGTTCCCACGTGTCTATGTGAGTGCTCGTGTGTGACTGTGTACGCATACCTGTGTGTATGTGTGAGTGCACATGAGTGAGTGTGCGTGTGGATGTGTGTGCGTGACAGTTAAAACACTGTGGGTGTAGGTGACTCCCTTGGTCATAAAACCCATCTCCCTTCCAGACCACAGTTACAAATGTTGAGACCCCCACCCAAACATCCTCTGGGGAATTTCCACTCAGTGGGGGAGAGGCCTCCTACAATCTACTCCTAAGTTCACGACACAGTGAGACCTTTATTATATTGAGGGCAGTATCAATGCCTCTACAATAGTTCTACATTCTATGATAACACATTTCTAAACTCTAAAATCAGCTAAACATTCAACATAGCCCACAAATCCAACACAGATGGGTCCAGTTGTCCAGTATGTTTATTTTTAAAAGAAACAGCAAATCGAGCTATTTCTTACCATGTCAAAACAGCATCCCAGTAAAGGAAAGCTTCAGCTCTCAAGGTTGCTCAGTGACAAACTCTTCCAAGTCTGGAACATATAATAGGTCGTTTGATAAAGTGGGAGACACAAACAGATGAAAAAGGGTTTTACTCCATAAAAGAGCTGGCCTTCCTCAAAATAGCTGAAAAGCGTTTCTACCAGGATGAAACAAATAGTTGGGTAGCTCCACCACCTTTTCATTCTCCAAGACCACGACTCCCCAACAACAGACAGCAAGCCAGTCACCCTCTTGCTTCACTCAGTCGAATGCTGAAGAATTGACCTGGAATGAGACAATAGTTTATGCAAGGTATATCAACAACAGCCTTCTGGGTGTCCTTGTGCGGTTTTACAAGTATCGAGTGGTAGCTACTGCTGATATCAAAGATATTTTAGTTCTCTCGTGAAAAGACACTAAAAAAGAAGAACTTTGTGCAGTACTTTTGGTATTTATATTTGTAATTGAGCTATATCAGACCTATTTCTTTTATTTTGTAACTTTGTAATATATTGTATTATTTAATTAGTTCAGTCTGTTGCTGTTCTTTTTCTCTTGGAGCAACTGTAACAACATTATTTACTTCGGGATTAATAAAGTTTTCTGATTTTGATTCTGATTGAGAAGAGAACTGTTACTCCTTCACATCAAAAGGAAGCCGGTGAAATGGGTCAGACATCTGGATATGATGCTTCTTGGACACTTGGATGAGGTGTTTGGGGAATGTTTATCACAAGACCCTGTGGTAGACCCATGACATGCTGGTGACATTATGTCTTTGGAGCCCAGAAAAATAAGCATAGGTGGCTGGACAGGAGGCATAGGCATCCCTTCTTAGACTCGTGCTCCTGAAATCCAGGAGAAACAGCAGGAAATGAAATGATGTATCGGTGGAATGGGTGTGTTTTTATTTTTGTCAAGCTGTGAAACATAAGTAAATCTCAGGACGTGCTATCATGTGCATTTCCAGTGAAAGCGTTAGAGAATATCACACAAGAGATTTTCTGGTGTGGTGGATGGAGAAAAGGAGTAGGAGGAGTAAGGTACGTCACATTACACGGATAGCTTTAGTCAGAAAGGTGCCAGTGTTCAGCAGCTTTCATCTTCTTTTCCCTTTCTGCTCATGGAGAACGTGTATGGACAACAATTCTGCTTTCCACAGCTCCCCAACACCTCCTGTAGGAAGCCGCTGCAACATCACAATCAGACCATTTTTCTCTACATTCTGCTTTGCTGCATCTCTCTGCTCACAGTGACTCTCAACGTCCTGGTCATCATCTCTATCTCCCACTTCAGGTGTTAAAGTAAACTTTACTGTGATATATTGTGTTTGACTTGAGCATACTTGGATTAGCTACAGAGTACTCTTCACATTTGGCCTTTACTAAACTGTAATAGCTCTCTTTTAGAAAGGAACAGCTGATGTGATAAATGTTTGTACTATTTAACTGAAATGATTTCATATTCTGACCTCCTCCTCTCAGAATGATGTGGAAACGAGAGGTTTGCCCTACTTTGTTGCACTGGATTGTTTATTGTATGTTGTTTTACTTTCAGAACTGGTGCATTACTGTAGCATTCCACCTGCTGCAGGTTTATTAATATTATGTTACGTCTTTCTTTCTGTTTTTTTCTTCTCAGGCAGCTTCACAACCAAACCAACCTCTTCCTCCTCTCTCTCGCTGTCTCAGACCTCCTTGTTGGCCTCCTGCTGATGCCGCCTCGAATCCTCCTTTTAGGGGGCTGCTGGTTTTTGGGCACCTTCATGTGTGGACTGTTTTACTATGCCTCTTTTGTTCTCACATCTGCCTCAGTAGGAAACATGGTGCTTATTTCATTTGACCGGTATGTAGCTATTTGTGACCCCTTGTCCTACCCCACTGCAGTTACTGAGAGAAAAGTCCAAATCAGTGTCTGTCTGTGTTGGGCCTGTTCACTGCTGTATAACGGCACAATACTAAACAACTTTCTGAAGCAGCCAGACAGATATAATTCTTGTGACGGGGAATGCATAGTTGTAATTAATTTCATAACTGGTGCTTTTGATGTCGTAGCTACCTTCATCGGCCCCACTGCTGTGATTATATTTCTGTACATGAGAGTATTTCTGGTGGCTGTGTCTCAGGCTCAGGCTATGAGATCTCATGTTGCCTTTGTTACTTCAAAGGGTTCAGTTCACGTTGCCATTAAGAAGTCTGAGAGAAAAGCAGCTACAACTATTGGTGTTGTTGTGGCTGTGTTTCTGATGTGTTTCTGTCCTTACTTTTATCCCTCTCTCGCAGGGCAGGACACATCAACCAGTGTGGAATTTTCAGTTTTTGGGGTCTGGTTACTTTATTGTAATTCCTGTCTAAATCCACTTATCTATGCGTTTTTCTATCCCTGGTTTAGGAAGACTGTTAAACTGATAGTTACATTGCAGATTTTGCAGCCTGACTCTTGTGATGCCAACATACTGTAGAATTCAAATCCTATCACTCCTCAGTTAGTCAAATACACTGTAAAGACCAAAGGTCAAAATGTGAAAAAATAAGTTGATATCTGACATCTTCTTCAGCTGTTAATGAAAAGTTGCATCAATTATTTGTAATACTGTATTAATATTGATTATTACCAGCTGTACTAAACAATATTAATCAAGAATTCATCAAGATCCTTTAACTTCTTCATGAAAAATGCACATGCATACTCCAGAGTCACTATGAAGACTCATCTTCATTCACTCCACTCTCGTCAAAGAACCTTTTTAATTTGTAGATGGTTCCTTAGCTATTACAAATGGTTCTTTAAAGAACAAAAGGTTCTTCATCCTTAGCTGTCTAAGTTTGATGGTGTAAATGGCATAAATATTTACTCACTATAACGAGACTGTGAATTATACTGTGTGTTTTCTTTGTGTGCATGTGTGTGCAAAGGGGGAGGGCGGGTTAACTGGTGATTAACCTTTAAGAGAAGATGGTAGGAAACTGAATATTCAAATAAAGTTAGAAATACTTGCTTAAAAATATACTGGTGGCAGGGGTGGGGGCCAAAGCCTAAAGACACCCCCCCCCACACACACACACACACACACCTAACCCAGCAAACCCATTGATCACAAATAATGTGATAATAGAATATGAAATTTATTATTAAGATGTTTATGAATATGGTGAGTTAACAAACAGTAGACACAATACACACCTTCAAATACTGTACTTTAGTTTTAAGTTTTAATAAAGCATTACTATTTTCTGCTTCAAGGCATTACTTTTGAGATTATTATATATATTAGAAACTATAGCATAATGATAATACTAGTTATTGTAAACTTTACAAACCACCCAGCAGTATATAAAGTCAAATTATAAAATACAAGTAAATAACAATTGCACAACAGAATGTCAATGAGTTTTGACAAAGCGCACTGCTTAGGTAAAGGATCTGAGTACTTGTTCATCACTGAGCAATTTGTTAATATGTGTTTTTAACCCAAATGACAGGGAGAGAGAGAGACGTCAGAACACGTCGTACTATGGCAACCTCCCGGGAGGGACGGAGGGGGTCAGTCGTTGGGATGCGCAGGCAGATCGCG